GGGATCCGAACCCTCGGCGGGAGCGCCCGCCACGCTCCCAAGCGGCACGCTGTAGCAGTGCGCCACTGGGCCGGCCCAAGACAGGCATTTTTAAAGAAAAACTGATAAAATAGAATGAACAATAACTGAAACGCTGGTAATAAGAGTATTTTTCCATGAAACTTTTGTTTCAGTTAAATATATCGACACGTTTATGTGCATAAAATGTAAGATACGTTTAGACAACTCAGAGCTTCAGCCACAACATTATCCCTCATGTGAAAGCAAAATATTCAAGTCTTTAGGTTTCAGTGCCACGTTCTCACCTGACGAACAGCGTAGCTTCCAGGAGATCCCGGGTATCGTTCTATCAGCAACGGTCGTAAGTCCTTTTGCCACATTTCAGAAATACTGGTGCCTTCTGCAATTTGCTGAAGAACCGATGAATTCAAACTGGCTGGTTGGTGATAATTCTGAGGATTAAATTAAATTGTTTAACTGGCTATCATTTCATAATATGTTCAAGACTTACCCTGACACATTTGCACTTAATTGCTTTAAACTTCAAAATAAAGTGATAACTTTTATGTCATATGAGGTAAATTAAACTACTCAGCTTTAAAACTGGCCCCTTACATCTAGGAAGTTAAAATTTTGGGAGGCTTATTTTATAAACAAAATCGACATAGTGCTTTAAACCGAAGAATTAATATACAATTGTTTTGCAAAACTAAGGTTTAAAAATATCAATTATCAGCCCACCATTATTAAGAAAACCAAATATTTTAAAAACTGCAGCTAACAAAACAATATACTTTGTTAGCACAATTATTTTCTAAAAGGCAGTGTAGTGTTACACAGTAAGCACTGTCTTAGAGTCAGAGAAACTGGATTCAAAGCTTCTGGCTGCCATTTAAAGGTTGTATGACCGTCACTTAACTTCTCATTCTCCCCAAAAAAACTAATAAAGGAATTTGAGCTAGATTTACACTACCCAATACAGTAGCCACTAGCCACATGTGACTAGGGCTTGAAATGCAGCTAGTCGAACTGAGATATGTTTTAAGTGTAGTATACACATTGGATTTTAAAGACTTAGTATGAAAAAAGTAAACTGTCTTATTCATAATTTTTGTAGTGATTACATGTGGTAATTTTTCTGATATATTGGGTTAAAGTACATACATTATTAAAATTATTGTACTTATTGCTTTTTACTGTTTTAATGTATCCAGTAGAAAATTTTAAATTACATATGTACCTCTCATTAAATATTCCTATAGGACAGTGCTGATTCAGATGATTGTTGCAATCCTTTTGGCCCAAGCTTGGTGATTCTATAACCCATTAAATAGTAAACTTTTTATCTTCAGTTAAAATTATTGTAATATTCTGATAATGCTTATACTCAGTTATATTTACATATTAAAGTGAAACTTAACTTAAAAAGCTAAGTAAACATAACATTCATATTTGTAGCTTGGGTATGACTTTACATAGGCGGTATTTTCTTATGATACTAGTAATGATGAATCATTCATGCATTACATGTTTTTCAGGTACTTAATGATGGAATGTGTTACTCCTCCTCAAAGGGAAGTGAGTGATTGATCGGATAACTTGCTCCCTAAGGGGAATGATGAGGGTAACATAAAGATACTGAATTATTTGGAATGCAAAACAGAAGTTGGGGAAGGCTTATCTATTTTACAGTTCCTTGCAGGACCAGTGTTAGTTGAATATGTTTACACTGATACTTTCACTGCATGTGAACCACTCCTTGCAGATGGTGGGGAACTATGGAATTAGAGGATACTTACTGCCTAATTACTTACACTCATCTACACTTTGGGATGGCTCAGCGTTACTCCCAGTATTTATCATGTCAATAGTATGGGCTGTGGGACCAGACAGCTCCTCTCAACTCAGCACCCCACCTCTTATTTACTAGCTGTAACTCTGGCCAGGTTACTTAACCTCATTAAGTCTCAATTTCCTCACCTGTAAATGAAGGTAATAACACCGACATCTAAGGATAATTAAAATTAAGTGAGGTAATGTACGTAAACTGCCATAGTAAATATTCAATGCGTTAGTTCTATTATTCCCTCCTATCTATCATTTAATAGATATAGACTTTTAGAGCTGGAAAAACCATTTACAGATGATCTAGTCCAACCTCCTTGATTTATATCAGTGGAAACTGAGATTCATAGGAACCAGCTGATTTCCCAAGTTTGTAAGGAGAGTTACAGATAAGTCCATGAAAACACCCGTGACCTGTAGATTCCTGATCCCATGCTAGTTCTTCTCTGCCTAACTGCCTCGTCTATGCACTTACAGTTTACTCCTAAATATTGATTCTGTGCCTGAACATCTTATGGTTTGTGTTTGTTTACTGGTAATACATTTTTAAATATATTTACTTAATAAATTTGTCACTGCAGCCTTTAAATTTCTTGGTACCTCCAGGATCTAAGTCCTCGTGTAGCTCTCAAACAGCACTTTGGAAAGTAAGCTGAAGCTAAAAGACAAAACAATAGAATATGAGAAAGGAAAAAAAGAAAAGAAGGCAAGAGGTCGGAAGACTTGCATGGTTAATTATTACTTAACCCAGGCAACAGTAGCCTGTCTGTCCTCTCCCACCGCCTCACTGGCCCCACGCAGTGCTGCTCACCCCTGCTCACCATGCTTCAGTCACCCTGGCATTCGTCCAGGTCCAAAGCACTCTGTCTCCTTGAGCCCTTGGCATCTGCAGTGCCTTCTGCCTTACAGGCTGTTTCCCTTTCTCTTCACCTGGCTGGATGCTTGGAGGCCACTCTCTGTGTGTTTACTTGTTTAATGTCTGTATTTCATGCAAGCTGTCAGCTCCATGAAGGCTGAAACTGTCTCTCTTCTTTACACTCTCTCCCTATGCAGGCTGCACAGTACCTGGTTCGTATTGAGCATTAAATAAATATTAGGCAAATTCATCAAATAAGGAATCAACAGATGAACTATCTTTCTAAAACTATCTTCACTAAGACTATGTTTACAAAATAACGAAGTAAAATGGGCACAGTTACCATCATAAATACCAAGTCAGTTGAATGCACAAGCAAGTATAAATACAGAAGAGACAGGTGGCCACCCGCTGCAGGCCTGGGAAGTGCTATGGCTCAATGTTAGTGGGCTTTGTTCTTTTTGAATTTCTGATAATCAGTGCATCTTATGATAGAGAACTGGGTTGGCCCAGGCAGTCACTGTGACAATCAAAAACTGTTGCATCAAAGGCCATCTGACCAGTAGCTCCTTTTCTATTTACTGTCCATTACTGCATCCCAGAGCTCACCTGGTTACTGTAGACAGGGCCCTTCACTCTGTGTCCACAGTGAGAGGAAATCAAGCTCGTGTTTAGATGAGTGATTTGTAGAGGTTTGAAAGAGTTCTTAAGAGATTTAAGAAAAAAAACAGAAGCAAAGTAAGTGGTCCTCCAGCATCCCTAACTGTAAGAGATATTGTGGATGAAATGTAGTTGGCAAATAGCACCAAAAAAATGCTTAATGGATGAGGAAAGGGTAAATTCAACAAACAGGCCATTGATGCTCATGAATATAGAGACGTACATGTGTTGCTTCTCAATGTCCTAGGTTCAATCATTTAATTAACATACTTCAGTAAAAACTCCCGTCTCTCCTTGCCTCTCTGGGAGCAAAGATGCTCCTGCAAAATCCCAGGAGCTTCCCAGTCATTGAAGGATAGAAAGGAGGAAACAACCACATTCAGTTAATTACTTAAGCCCACCTCTTTATTAAAGCCCTGTATGGAAAAGCATTGGACTTCCCAACCTAAATATATGTATTCATTTTTAAAGAGTCCTGCTCTCAGAACTCAATAAATATATGCATCTGTGTGGAGAAGAATGAGTAAGAGGAGAAACGTGGGAAAAGTGTGAGCTCAACAGGAGGCAAGCACCTGAGGCAAGGACAGTGTTGGGCCCAATGGTAAATGCAAACCCCAATTTATTCTAGGTTTATTTCAATTAAAAGGCACTTAGACAGTTTTCTATTGGTGCAGGCATTCTCAGAGGAATGAGGCTCTGTTACAGCCCCTGCCTTGTCTTTTCATCCAGGCAGAAAGGACAATTAGTCTGCTCCAGGTGACAAGAATCTTTCAGCTAAAAAAGTGTGAATCAGATATCCTGAAGCATCTCCTCTAGGCTAATCACATGGTGTCAGGCCAAAGAGGGTTTTAATTACATAATTTGTCGAGCTGGCCTAGCTTGCAGAGAGATTTGAGGTTCCAAACTATTGAAATAAATAAAGGGAGATCATTACAGAAATGCAGCCAATTCAAGTCCAGTTTCCATCCTATAAGAGCATCTCCCAGGCAGCCCTCAGATTAACACCTCTGTCCACCTGCACATTCAACTCAGCCAGCATTTACTGAACTCCTATGTGTCAGGTGTGACTAACATTAAAAACGCAGTTGGGGAAGAGTGGGGAACTGCATAAGATAATGTCTTTTTAAAATGCAAGCAGCCGTCTACTTAAAAGCAGAACAGTACAAGCTTTAAACACAACAATTTAGGTCAAATCCCTGCTCCCTCACACACTAGCTGTGACTAGGGAAAGGCTCCTTATCTGTAAAATGGATGTCATAGTATTTACTTAGCAGGTGGCACAGGCTCCAAAACGACACATTTTGTCTTTGTTCCCTGACCAACACCCAGCCTGTCACTGACCGCCCTGCCCTGCCTTGGAGTCTCCATCACTGCTTCTATAGGAATCACATGGGGTAGAGGAGTGGATGGCTAAGGACTCCTAGAACCATGGAGGGAGGAACCCTATGGACTTTTCGAGCACACATTGCTCCAGAAACAGAAGAATGTGAAATGCTGGAGACAGCAGTTATCAGTTTGCCAGAATTGACGCTTCAAATAATCTGTCCCTCCATCCCCAATACGACTTGGTTTTTTCCTACTTCACCTTTGTAACAATGAAGGAATATTCTACCAATTAAAATACATTGAGAAAGTTTGAAAAACAAGCTAAATATTCAAGAATAAAAAAACTGTTAAATTACGGAATGATGATTTTGCAATTATCCAATGATGCTTTCAATGAATTTTATTGGCTTAAGGAAATACTCATAATATACTATTAAACAACATAGTAAGATATAAAACTATATATGCAGCACAATATCTAGTATGAAATAAATATTTTGTGTTTATTTTTAAAATCAACAATTAACCTTTATTGAGCATTTACCATATGCCAGCCACTTTACTAAGTGCTTTATATGGATTCAATCATTTATTTCTCATAAAAAACCTATGAGATTGATATAATTATCCATCTCCATAAATGTAAATACACACACACTTGTGTGCGTGAGCATGTGTATGTGTGTGTGTATGTATATATAGAGAGAAGACTAGAAATAAAAACACCAAAATGGTTAACAGCACTTATTTCCAAATAATGTGGCATAACGTCAGTTATCTTTTTAGTATACTTTTCCATATTTTCCAAGTTTTCTAAAATGAGCACTTGTTAACTTTATAATTAGGAGACTTCACTAGAAGTCATTCTTTTTACTTTATTGGAGTTAGCATCCTTTTAAAAACATAAATCCCTTTCACCAGCCATCAGTCATTCACACCTAAAGGAGGACTGATTTAATGTGATTCCTTTTAACAGTTGGTTGACAATGTTGTACTAAAGGAATGGGCCTGTACTAAAGGAATATGCCTGGGCATCAAGGGGCAGGGGCAGGATCCAGAAGAAGTAATTCTGTAATATGGCTCAACCCCCAGAATAATGATGACTTTTAAGCTGCATTACAGAGATCAAGGAAAGGGAAATTCAGGGGGTGAGAGAAGAGAAGTTACCAAAAACAAACTATTTTGGAATGCCATTTAGGGTCAGTCCACCCCAACCCAGAAAGAGGGAGTAAGCCTCTGGACCTCTAACCTCCCCACTAGCCCCACAAGTCCCAGAGCGCTACCTGGGCATCGTGCATATACATCAGCCAGGACTCACCTACCTTAGAGAAGAGAGTAGAAGGGGAAAGGAATTATCAGGGCTAAGCCAAATCCTACCTCTTCAATTCACCGGTGTAATAGTCATCAAGTTTTACTATTTGTACACTGGGGATAAATATACCCTCCTCACATGGGTACTGTGAAGTTCAATTGAGATGGTTTTATATGAGTGTGTATGTGTTTGTGTATATGTGTGTGTGTGTGTGTGTGTGTGTGTGTATATATATTTACGGAACTCTGCCCCTAAACGTACATCTGTGGGCCCACCTGGTAATCTAACATATATATATATATATATTTACGGAACTCTGCCCCTAAACGTACATCTGTGGGCCCACCTGGTAATCTAACAATTTATAATATTGCTTCTATAGAAACATTGTTTCCAGGTTTCAAATAACCAAATCATAGTCTTCTGAACACAACCATAAACTAGGGCTGATATGCTTTTACATATTAGATGCCATTGAAAGAGACACACCTTTATTTCAAAACAAAGAAAATGGATTTCAAAATCAATGAGTTCTTTATCACACCTCACCTGTTGGAAGACCAGTGTACCAAGGGAACACCTCATATGATTAATATAATCAAACGTCATAAAAAGCAGGAAGGCATGTATGTTAGTGTGTACTGATTCATCTCTCAGGCTGCAATCTATAGCTGGCTGCCTGGAAGATTTTACGAAGGCCTACAAATAAAAGGAAAGGGAGCTAGAAATTGGAAAATACCATGGCTGGTTGTCATATTGCTTATACCATTTGAAATCCTTCCATTTCCCAATGAACAGTGATTGGAAGCTTCTTAAAATAAATATAAAAGGGGGCCGGCCCCGTGGCGCACTCGGGAGAGTGCAGCGCTGGGAGCACAGTGACGTTCCCATCGCGGGTTCGGATCCTATATAGGAATGGCCGGTGCACTCACTGGCTGAGCGCGGTGTGGGCGACACCACACCAAGGGTTGTGATCCCCTTACCGGTCACGAAAAAGACAAAAATAATAATAATAATAATAACAAATAAATAAATATAAAAGGGATTCACGCTTTAAAAGACATTTCTCAGAAGTCCAATTCTCATTAGTTTAAAAAGTTTTCAGAGTCACAGCACCTTCTCCCACCCACAGATACCCCCTGCCTACACATGCCTACAAGGGATCCTTCAAAGCAGTTCCTTCAGTTTCCTATTTACTCCCATCCATTTAGATGTATCATAAAGACACATTTGGTGTGGCTCCACACTCTGGTTTTTAATATCCCTTTCCAAATCTCTGACCAGGAAGGTATTCACAGTGAAGGGAAGAAGGAGAGGATTTGTTTGTGTAACTCAATGATCTTCTTCATAAGCCTTACTCCTACTGAACCCCCATGGGAAGCTGTTTTTCTTAAAACGAAGTTATTCTGGCAGTTGACTTCCCTCGCCCTTACCACATTCCCTGAAGCAGGTGGTCTCCATGTGTAAGTGGGGGCCGTTGTGGTCCCTGACTGGTGAAGTTAATTAAACATGAGCGAAGAACGAACGTGGGCTGTTCATATACCTATGCCTGTGGCTGGGCAGAGGTGGGCATTCACAGTGTGCCCTGTATTTCAAATGTTTCAGTAAATACAGACATACTGTAAAGCACCTAAAAGATCTGTTCAATAACACTGCCAAAGTTTATATCCCTTTACTCGGCTACTTTTTTTAGTATCTTTAAAGCATACCATTTTATTCCAACACCATTAACATTTGCACAAGCCTTCAGCAATCTCATGATTTCAAAACTGCTACGCAAGAAAAAGAAAGAGTTGTGAACCTATTTCTTTCACACAGAGGAACTTGCAAATCACTTTTATCCAAAGTTCCTCATATGAAATTTTCGGGGGGAGCGGGGGGAGGAAGTTTTCGCCTACAACTGGACACATTTCTCTGAAAACAGCATATACCCTCCTAAAGAAAAGAAAAGATTTTGAAGTAAAGCGGGTCTCAGTTAAGGTCCTTGGTTCCGAGTTGCTCCGCTTACAAACCTAAAGCAAATAGATGACACAGGTCCGCCCTGAGAATGCGGGGACATTTCAACGCCCCAAGAACATCCTCAGATGCAGCAGCGGGGGAGCTGTGGGCACATCCCGGGCGCGTCCCGCACGCCGGCGGCGCCGGAGCGCGGGGACCGGTGGCCTCGCGGGTCCCTAGTGGGCGGCGGCGCTGCGACACACATTTCCTGTGCCTATCAGCACCCCCGTCGGACTGCAGCCGAGGGGCGGCCAGTGACATCACCCAGCCCCCCTGGCGTCTGCAAAGCAGCGCCGAGGCCAGCCGAGGCACCCTGGAGAGGACGCACAGCCCCGGCTCCTCGGAGCGCCGGGTGCGGGTGCCCGGGTGGGGGACCGCGGCCCCGCCCCGCCTCCCGTTCTGCCGAGGTGACGCCGGCCCGGCCCCGGTGTCCCCGCACTGGGCAAGAGCCGCTCAGGTACAATCAGGCAACGGCGCCGCCTCACCTTCTCCTCGGTCCAGGCTGCGGAGCCCCGACTGACCCTCGGGGCTGCCTGGGGCAGAGCGGCCACCAGCAGCAGCAGGTGGAGGGTGCCCATGGCGCGCCGGTTCCCGCCGCCTGTCATCTCTCCCAGGCTGTCTGGGCGCCGGCTCCCCGGGCTGCCGGCGGTCACGAGCCCGGGAGCGCGCGTCCTTCGCCTTCCCCTTCTCCACCCTGGACCGACTGCGCCCGCCTCCCCTCGCCTCCCAGTCGCCTCTCGCTGCGCCGCGCAGGCCGCTACCGCAGCCCTCCTCCCCCGGACCTTAACAAACCCGGGAGCTGGGCTGTCCTGGGTGATACAAGCTTCCGAATCCGGGGGAACCAAGACGACCCCTTCCACGTCTTGGAAAGGACGAAAGGAAAGAAGGACGAGACATGGAAGAGCCTTTTTATGATCTCCCATGTCATGGGAGGAAGTGTTCATCAGACCCTGGGGGCTTCCGAAGTGTTTCCCACAGCTCTTTAAGAAGGGGTGAACAGGGAAACAACATTTATCAAATACACTGTACCAGGCACTGTCCTAGGTGCTTTTCCAATGTTCCCCTGCTTGATGTACTAATCCCATTTTACAGATGAGGCAACTGAGACCTCCCTGCAGAAAGCCTGGACTGGAACCCTCAAGGAAAAGTATTTCCTCTATAACAGTGCATCTTTATGTTTTCTCTTTTTTCTCACAAATGGTTGCCTTGCTTTATAGGAGACAACCATCATACTCCCCAATGAAGAAGTATGGTTGAAGTAATTATCTGAAATAAAAGAGATCTAGAATATTCACAAAAGTGGCTCTTTGGGCAGTCGTCTCCAATGGATGCCCCCAAAAGGAAAAGCTGATATCAATTTTATTTACTTTGTACCATCAAAGGTTATTGTTACTCCAGATAATCCTAGGGAAAAAAATTCAATTTTGTCTGTAGGTTTCTGTCCAAGATGTCAGGACAATTACTTCACCATCTTTTTTTCTTACACAGTCAAGATCAGGGCTTGGCGTTTCCTGAGTCATCTCCCAGTTATGTATAGTTCTCAAAAAAGACAGAACAAGGACACTGATTTCCTTGAGAGCAAACGTTTGAAGGTAATGAAGCCTGTGGGAGGGACCACCCCCTCTATCTTCCTAGGCTTGACTATACAGGGTTGTTTTTTTTTTTAAAAGAGAGCCAATCTGGAAGTACACTGTTCTGCCCCCCTCTGGAGCTACAGAGGAAGACAGGATGGAAGTATCTTCTGATGTTCAAAATTTCTAACCCTAATCATGTCTGAGAGTTTTCAGGGACAGTTTAAATCTCCAGGCCTGAATAAAATTAAATAGCTTCTTTATTACATCCATGGACAGTTCTGATAATCAGACCACTTCAGAACTTTCTGCTGGTTCAGTATTCAGAACAAAACCATTATCACGTTTCCCAATATACATATTCTCTTGCTGCCTAGGCCAACCTTGAAATAGTGGGTTTCCTGGGTGGGTGAATAATAAAAAGCCTGTTTGCTTTTCATACCCTATTACCTTTTTATCTTTTCGCAATATGATTTCTATAAGAGAGAGAAGGTGTAAATAGCAAACCTATATGAAATGAAACTTGAAAGATAATATGCTAAATGTAAGCAATTCAAAATAAGAAATATGGGAATATTTGAGCTAAAATGTAACACATAATTTGATTATGATTTTCTATTCCCTAGTGCTCTCCAAGTTTGGTTATGTTTAAGTCAACAAGATACTGTTGCAGAGATCTACAGGAAGCAGACTCTGAGACAAAGTTTAGCGTGGAGGATGTGTATCAAAGAACCCTTGAGACAAACCCCTGTGGGAGGAAGAAGGAGGAACAAGGGAGGGCAGAGAAAGAAGTTAGCAGCTAAGTGGGCCCAACAGCCTCACCCAACCCCATGGGGAGTCTTGGAGCTGAAATCCCCCTACCTCTATGGAGTGACTTCCTGCAAGCGGCCCTTTACAGCCAAAAGAGCTGACAGCTACAGGCTGTCTGCCAGAATCAGTCCAACATCTGGAGCAGAGTCCTTCCCTAAAGCAGGACCTGAGCAGCACATCTCTGTGTCTACAAGTGCATCCATATGATGTATCTCGTACAAATCTAAAACATTTCACATAGTAAGTGAGGCTGATTTTAATAAATTGTTTTTTACTCATGTGGGTTTTTCTGACAACTTTCCATAAATCTATAAATCCAACGCAACTATTTATGTATCCTACCTTCCTTATTCATGTCTTTTTTGTGTCTTACACGCTAAATATCCTTTTCCTTTCCTTCGCTCATTCTTCTTTTCTCTCTTCCATTCTGGAAGCTTTCAGAAATCCTTTGTGTCTGCTATTTTTTTCCTTACTGCAAATTTTTCTTTCTTCAAACTCTTCCTATGGAAGATAACTGATGACTTTTACATTTTAATTAAAGTTCCTGGCCCTGATTTGTATCATGGAAAAAAAGTAGTTGTAAATGCAGTGAAAACGCTCTGTTCATGAGTGGAGTAGTTATCATCTTCAGTATATTATAAATTCTATACTATAATTTGAAGGACATGAAGAACCCGACTGCCAAAAAAGATCTTCACCACAAAGCTGCCATGGCAGGATTTTCATGTACCCAGTTCCACCTTTAAAGTGGACCCAATCAGTAACCATCAGAAGTTTCTATTAAACCAGCGGTTTTCACAGTGTGTTCCATGGACCCTGGGGATTCTCCAGGACCCTTTTGGATATGTGCAAAGTCAAATCAATTGTCATAATAATACCAAAATAAGATTTGCCTTTCTTACTGCATTAACTTTGCACTGATGTTGCAAAAGCAGTGGTGGGTAAAACCGCTGGCACCTTAGCACCTATCAAGACAGCACATAAAACTGTACTATTTTTTTAAAACCATACTTATAGGGCCGGCCCAGTGGCGCACTGGATGGTGCCCCGCTTGGGAAGTGCGGCGGCGCTCCCGCCGAGGGTTCGGATCCCACATACGGACCGGTTCCCGCTCTCTGGCTGGGCGAGGCGCGGGAGCAACGCCGAGGGTTGCGATCCCGTTGCCAGTCCCGGTCCGGTGCGGGGGCGACACTGAGGGTTGCAATCCGTTGCCGGACACGGAAAAAAAAAAAGACAAAAAAAAACCAAAAAAAACCCATACTTATAGTCATTGTATTCTCACTTAAGAATGCCATTGATGAGCAATAACAATTGTTGTTATTAAATCCCAACCCCTGAGCACATCTTTTTTAATAGCTTTATTGAGACATAATTGTAATACATTAAACTGACCATATTTAAAGTATACACTGCGATGAGTTTTAATATATGTATACACCCATAAAACCACAACACAGTCAAAAGAATGAACATAGTCATCTCCCCCATATCTTCCTCCTATTCCTTTGTAATCTATCCCTCCACTGCCCAAGTCTAGACAACCACCTATCAGGCACATTGTCTTCCAAAATTGCTATACCATTTTACACTACTACAAGCAGTGTATGTGAGTTTCAGTTCCTTCAATTTTGTCTGTAGGTTTCTGTCCAAGATGTCAGGACAATTACTTCACCATCTTTTTTTCTTACACAGTCAAGATCAGGGCTTGGCGTTTCCTGAGTCATCTCCCAGTTATGTATAGTTCTCAAAAAAGACAGAACAAGGACACTGATTTCCTTGAGAGCAAACGTTTGAAGGTAATGAAGCCTGTGGGAGGGACCACCCCCTCTATCTTCCTAGGCTTGACTATACAGGGTTGTTTTTTTTTTAAAAAGAGAGCCAATCTGGAAGTACACTGTTCTGCCCCCCTCTGGAGCTACAGAGGAAGACAGGATGGAAGTATCTTCTGATGTTCAAAATTTCTAACCCTAATCATGTCTGAGAGTTTTCAGGGACAGTTTAAATCTCCAGGCCTGAATAAAATTAAATAGCTTCTTTATTACATCCATGGACAGTTCTGATAATCAGACCACTTCAGAACTTTCTGCTGGTTCAGTATTCAGAACAAAACCATTATCACGTTTCCCAATATACATATTCTCTTGCTGCCTAGGCCAACCTTGAAATAGTGGGTTTCCTGGGTGGGTGAATAATAAAAAGCCTGTTTGCTTTTCATACCCTATTACCTTTTTATCTTTTCGCAATATGATTTCTATAAGAGAGAGAAGGTGTAAATAGCAAACCTATATGAAATGAAACAATTTGCAGTCCTCAATAATTGTTACTAAATACATAGGGATCCTGAGACTAAAACATTTGAGAACCATTGTATTAAAGCTATTTTTCCTAGGGGAGATAATACATTAAGCCAATGGTTCTAACTTTAGCAACACATTGTAATTATCTAGAAATCTTTTTTAGAAACACATATCTAAATCCCACACCCAGAAATTCTGATGTAATTAGTCTGGTGTGTGGTCTGGGCACCAGATTTGCTGGAAAGCTCCCCAGGTGATTGTAATGTGCAGTCAGTGTTGAGAACAACTGCAGTAAGCCACACACTTTAAGAAATACATTAGCGAAAACCATATAATCAGATTAATGATAACATTAGTAATCATGTTGCATAGTAGTCATGTTGTAAAGCCCTGAGGGTACAGTAGAAAAGAAAGGGAAAGTGAGCCAGCCCTAGGCAAATTATGAACTAGGCAGCTTAGTTTCAAACCCTCAACTTTCCCCCAACATTTTGCCCCTGCACAAGCCTCAAACTGAAGCACCCTGCCCTTTGTTCCTTTAATAGTCAAAGAAAAGTCCACATTAGATCCCTGCCCAAAGCTGTTCACCACTACTTTCAATAAGAGTCAAAAATTAAAATATTCGCTTTTGCAGTCAAGAGTCAGACTTTTGCTGTTCCGTAGGAATCTCAGGAATCTAGATTTCCTGTAAATCTTCCCAACTCCTTTCACCAGATCAGAGGTCAGGTCAAGGTGGCAATAAAAGTTAGGAAGAAAGGTTCCTTCTCTCTGGTTTTCTGACCCTCTCCCTTCCCAGCTCTTTAAGATAACATTCACTCTCAGAGAAGGGGAGAGGAACAGTCCCCCCTAAATCCTTATCCCTTTAAACTGACACTAATCTTGCCCCCAAACAAATTCCTTTCACTATTTTACTAATTTTGTCATGCTTTT